ATATTTTCAGATTTATACTTCACGAGATTCGACAATATCAACACATGCACATCATTTACTCTCTTCAGTTCATACTACTTCAACACCTATGTCATAGATTACAATTCGTCTTGGCACAACTCAAATTGATAATTTTCAGGTTATTGCTTCACGAGATTCGACAATATTATCAATACAAAGGCACGTTATTCACTCTCTTCAGTTCATACTACTTCAATCCTACGTTTAAATTACAATTCGTCTTAACCTTACCTTGACACAACTCAAGTTGATAATTTTCAGGTTGATACTTCACGAGATTTAACAGTATTGTTTATCAAATGCACATTATTTAATCTTCTCACTTCACACTACTTCAACACCTGTCTTAAATCGATTACAACATAAAGGCTCTCGGTCGTTCACACACACACAGACCCTACTTTTTTATATGGAACAGGTAGTTTGGAAAATTATTCAACCCACACGAGGGTGGCAGTGAAGTTAGTATTATATAGTATAGTATTGTGTCGAGCACGCAGAGTTATTTAATTTTCATTTTCAATACAGTGGATTGTGCGACATCTGAATGGTGTATGAAATCTTGTGGATCTGGGGAAATCTGGCAACGCTGTCTTATGGAGATTCCCATGTTGGGACAAAAATGTTCAAAACGGAGCTTGGCTTTTTTCTCCAAATTTACAGGTATTTCCCATGGGGCGGTGTTGCCATTTGCCCCATGTTCTCATGGCTACTTCACTCCCATAATCATTGATCAATGTCATTCAGGAAAAACAAATCTACACCGTGACATTAATGAAACCATCAGAAGAGTGAAACAGAAATACAACTGGCAAGATCTCATTAAAGATGTCGAAAATTTTGTAAAAAAATGCGAAATTTTTGTCAAAAGTCATAATTTACCGAAAAAATCTTAGCACACCTCTCGTCAGAACTGAATTACCAAAAACCCCTTTTGAACGTTTCAATGTAGACATTTTCGAAATACCCACAAAATACTACGCTTTGACAATAAGAGAGATAAAAATAATATACCATTATACGTCAGTATTGAAAATATTTCCCAATACCTAGACCTTATTGAATTACAAGCATATCTAACAGACAATAAGTAGTATTTGATTTAAATATTCCCCTCGTGGAGCCTGAAACATACACACCTTTTCATTGATATCCAATACCAATCTTAAATGCTAGAACCATACATTATCAACATTTCAAAAATTCATTGCGCGAGACGTCGATTCAATTTTGTACATTTCTTTTAAGAATTCAGAGGATTGTAAAGTGATCAAAAAGACTTGAAAATCTGTGCAGAAGTGGTTCCATACCCGATAGACAGCAACGCTATCTGTGAAGCCTAGCTCCTTAAACAAACTCTGAAATTGCCCAAAAATTGTAAATCAAGGCAATGGACTACAACTTCCAAGTGATTTCTCAAAACCTGTGGCTGATATCAATATCCGATCCTTTACCAGTCACCATAAATTGTATTAGCAGAGAATACAACGCCTTCATTGGAAACACGAGTGTTCATTCCAAATATTTCGTTGAAAGATACTAGAACGTAAATTACAACAAACATGCAGTCCAGATACTATATCGATGCTGTGACCACCTTTTGGAAAAAATCCTGGAGCTGAAACCCCTGAAATAAAATAAAATAATTGTCGACGATCTCAACATCGCCGAACACAAGTTGAACCAATACTCAGATGAATTGGACAAACTCATCAACGAACCGTTCGTGAACAAACACATTTCTTGGTTCACGTATTTTACAAGCGCACTAGTGATTCTGTATATTTTCTGCAAATGCCGTCGCAAGAAGTCAATTGCGATCGGAATCAGCTCTTCAAGCAACGACAACCCACCAAGACCACCAAGAACAAGAATACTACCCAGAACCCTGGCAGGATTTGTTGGTGCAAAGCACCAACTTTTCTTTGATAAGGAGAGTTGTTATACCGTGAGTAGGACGATCTCACCGGTATCAGATTACCAAGATAACGACTTCCAAGACTTCGAGTCAGCTGAGTCAGCAGAACGTGATACTTTTGTTATTTCCCATCGTCTCCTTCTGACACCGCTGTCTATACATTATAAATGGACCCTGCGAGGTCAATAAGTGTTCAGTATCTATTTAGAATTTGTCCAGTATTGATTTAAAATCTCTTTTTGTAACGACATTTTCAATTATCGATCAATAAAGTCTGTATTTAAAAATATAATTTAAAAATAAAGTGTTTTTAAAAAGTCATATTCAAAAGAGTGAATATAACATAACTTTCAACCTTTACATAATCATCTCTCCAACACTTGTACATATGTCAGTGTCATCAAAGTGTCAGTTTCATTTGAGGTGCTTCAGAATATAATTTCCACTCTGTTGATATATTTTCGGAGTCACTAATATATTTGAATCTTTCATTCTTTCAGAATATCATTCGTTACATGAGATAATTTGGCCAACTTTTGTTTAATTTCAATAACATCTGTTATTGCAATAATTATCCTTCCTTCAATTTTTGATGCTTTATTTTTCTGAATGAAAACGGCTATTGTACTTGAAGAATACACGATATCTTTTACAATCATGTCATAACAAATTGATTTAGATGAAAGGATACATATAAACTCTAGTTCCACGGAACATTGAACAAGCATCAAAAGAAATACTATTTATTTCGATTCATTTTTGTACAACAACCATTCTTTGGGAAAGAAAGATTTTGGCTTTATACTTTTCATCTTTATATAAAAAAGGAGTCTTCCAGAAATTAATCTTCTCTAAAAATATACCCCTTTCAACATAAACCATTCTTGCATTTCATTAATTCTGACTTCCATTTTCTAATATCATATAAATTGATTTGGAATACCTGAGAGAGTCTATAAAAATTGAAAAAAATATGTAAATAATAACAATTATTTTAAGCAAAAAAACTGAATTTACAACATTGAACTATTAACAAGAAATGAAAATTAAAAGATTCTAAGCCAAGTTACTTAACGACGTTTCTATTGTGATGACTTGACGATCATCTTCAGTTCATTCAGGATTTGGAGACCAGCTCCCCTACCCTTTCGGCTGATCATTGGCCTTGAGATGGGCCAATGGGTATTGTGATGACTGACTTTGAGATCTGAGTATTTATAGGCCATTCGAATACTTTCACCTATCCCCTCTTTTCTCCCTCCGCCTCATCCATTCTAGTGGCTAGTGGGAGCTGACCGTTTAGCGGGAGTTGGTTGTGTTCCGCTTGATTATAGGTTCCATATGTTGTGTCTCTACGCTAGATTGGCTAAATGCGTTGTTGGACAACATTTATGCGGCTTCTTTGAATTTACTCCTAAACCAGTGGATGATTTCAATTTGAGACCACTTGATGGTCCAAACATGCTGTACTATTCCTGATTTGCTGGTTCCTTCTCGCTGTGTGTGTTTCTTGAGATCGGCAATGCGAACTTTCAATGGCCTCTCAGTTTCACCGATATATGATTCTCCGCACTCCCATACGCATACGGAATACGACCAACTTTTAATTTTCAATTTTCATTTCTCGGTAATAATTTTTAATTTTCATTTCTTATTGATAATTCAATTTTTAATTGTTGCTTGTTATATTATACTTCGCAGCTTTGTCCTCTGTTATTACAATTTGACACAAGTAGTAGGATTGATTGTTCCCGTTTTCGTACAAGTTGAAAGAAGTGCAAATTTCCTTTATCGGCAACCCCGCATTCGTCATCCAGTGCTCAGCGTATCGAGAATCGTAGCAGATTCATGTCATTCTTTTTGATTGTACCGTTGAGTGAAAGTGATAGAAGTGCGCTGTGGGTAAAACAAAGAAATCGAAACTAGAAATAAAACGTAAACTACAATCGAAAATTAAAACGTAGAATTGAAGAATATTCATCTTCAGAAAGTAAGTAGATATATTAATATGTTTAAGATTCTACAAGGACAACAGACAACACTGATCGTGACAAACTTCTCAAACAGCATTCCGTTTAGTGAAAAAAAACTTTCCTTCGGAAGGTTTTAATTGTTGAAGAAGTGCTGAAATCGGCATCCACATGGATTGCATGTTTTTCAGTAGCACTAGTCAGAATTCACATGAATTTCATTGAACTAGCTGCTCAACACATCAAGAGGTAAACATCGCAGCAAAAAATTAAGACTGTTGTTGGCCCTGCCTGCTTATGCAATGGCCTATGGGACTCGTAAATAGTGACATGTATGACTTTTTATTTGCATAAAAGACATATTTACGCAAATATTCAGCTGCTACGCAATTGTTTTCAGCATTACCTCACTATTTAGATATGACTCCATTCATTATCTTTACAGGTTCAGACAGCTCCTCGTCATCGGAATTTTCCGATACCGTTAGATCAGAGGAGGAAACGCCTAAACTATTGAGGGGCCAGTAGATACACTCCCAGAAATCCTATCAATTTTGGTTTGTGATATCAGGGATTCCAATTCAGAAGGTCCTGAAGTGCATGAACAGATTGCCAATCGTTGGACTTCAGTTATTAACTGCGGTATCGACAAGACTGAACGAAAAACTCTAATGGATAAATATCCTATAATAAAAAATTGCAAATCTCTATCAGCACCCGTATTGAATCCGGAGCTGAAAACAATTATAGGCGAGAACTCAAACAGACAAGATATGTTTCTGGCAAGAATTCAGGATCAGTTAGGATGTGCCATTTCAGCATTATGAACTTTTCTGTTCCCCAACAGAAACAAACTCTTCTCAGATTGGTAGAATCAGCAAAACTCTCAACAGATCTGCATCATAGCTTGTCACTTCATCGTCGGTTTATGATATTACCTAGCCTAAAACCGGATATCAGGAGAATAATAGAATATTTTCCAATAGAACAATTGTTATTCGGGGAAAAGTTCACAGATAAGTGAAAAATTCCAAGGATATCCTAAAATCATCCATGGGGTTGAAACTGAACTTGCATTCTCAAATAGTCAACCTTCTTCAAGTGGATATCAACAGTTCAAAACGAATCCAAAAAACTTCAAGCGAACGCAGAACCGACCACCGAGATTGAAAGGAAAAGAAAGAGAGTGGAGGAAGCTCCATAGGCGGAGAAGCGGCAGAGACGCGAGGTCGAGGAGCAACAGATTTCGTTAATGGAGGTAAATAATGCTGGCAGACTATCACAATTTTCAAACCAGTGGGTAGAACTCATCAACAACCACATGGTTCTCGGTTGGATTAAGGGTAAAAAATTGACTTTCACGGAAAAGCCAATACAATACAACACACCCACAGTGAAATTCACTAAGGAAGATACCCAACTGTAAGTTGGTCATCAAAAACCTTATAAAAATTCGAGCAATATCTGCCCAATTGCATGATGAGAAAGGTCAATTTCTTTCCTCATACTTTCTCAGACAAAAACCAAACGGAGAATTTCGATTCATATTGAATTTGAAAAATTTCAATCAATTTATTACACCTCTTCATTTCAAACTCGAAGATTGTCGAACAGTCATTCAACTTTTATCTCACAATTCCTTTTTGACAAAAATAGACCTGAAAGATGCTTATTTTATGTTAGCCCTTTCAAAGGAACATAAAAAATATTTATGATTCAAGTTTAATGAGACAATCTTCGAATTCAATTCCCATTCGTTTGGACTGAATAAAGCTCCATATATATTTACCAAAGTTATGAAACCTATATTGAAGAATATAAAGTGAAGAGGGCATTCTTTGCGTGGGTTACTTAGATAATCTCTTGATAATAAGTCACAAAACTGAAACTAGCATTATAGATATCCAAAAAGTACAAAGCTTTTGGAGAAATTGGGATTTCTCATCATCTATGAAAAAAGTCAGTTATCTCCTAGTAGAACTTGCAAATTTTTGAGATTTATTTTCAACACCGAAAATTGCACAATTTCTTTACCAGTGGAAAAAAGAATTAGTATCCGTGATAGTATAAATTATATTTCGAATAAAAAATCTTTTACTATTCGTACTTTGGCAAGGTTGATAGGAAACCTTGTGGCAGCATGCCCTGCTATCACATATGAATGGTTGTACACAAAAAAGTTGGAAAAAGACAAATGTCGTCAGCTAAATCTATCAGGTAATTTCGACAAACACATGTCCTTGTCGGAAGAAGCTGAATCCGATTTGAAATCTACAAAACCTACCTTCACCCACAAATCAAATAAAAACGAATATTTATAAATTAGAAATATTTTCTGACGCTTCAAAATCGGGTTGGGGGGCATACTGCATCAAAGAAAAAGCACATGGCTTTTGGGACCGCAAAGAACAGAAAAGACATAAATTTCTTGGAACTAAGGGCGGCATTTAACGGCCTTAAGTGTTTTACAAAAAATAATTCTGACTGTGAAATTCTGTTGCGAATCGATGTTACCGCAATATTATACATTAACAAAATGGGGGACATGAAAACTTGAACGTTATAACAAGACAGATTTGACAATATTGTAAAAAACGTCGAATATGGATTTAGCATCATATATTATACAAAAAGTAATCCCGATGCACAACTATTGACACGGAATATGAATTATCCGACTCATGTTTTCAAAAAATATATCAAACGTTCTTCACTTCTGATCTATTCCCAACAGAACTCAACACAACAAGTGAATGTTTTGTATCTTGGAAACCTGATCCATCTTCTTGGGCTGTGGACAGCTTCACAATATTTTGGAATAACATTAACTTCTATGCTTTTTCGCCATTCTCTCTTATAACCAGAGTTTTACGGGAAATAAAATCTGAAGAATCAGAAGGCATTGTGATCGTGCCTTTTTGGGTAACGCAACCATGGTACCCTCTTTTCCAACGAATGCTTACCTGTAAACCCTTGATATTACTACCAAACAAAAACATGCTTTCATCTCCTTTCAGGAAACCACATCCTCTATGGAGGGACCTTACCCTGGTTGCAGGAGTTTTATCAGGAAAGCATTCTCAAAAAGAAATATCCCTAGTAAAACAGTACACGGAATAATGGCCTCTGTCACTACCAGTACTTTCAAACAATATGATGTCTGGTTCAGAAAATGGTGGGATTATTGTGCGGAACATCAACAAAACCCTATCACTAGTTCGCTAGAAAACATCATAAATTTTCTCGACCTCCAATTTCAACAGAATAAGTCATTTTCTTTAATTAATAGCTGCAAATCGGCTATCAGTTTTTTCATGCCTATGAAACAAGAAGATGAAACTATCATCAGAAGATACATTAGGGAAATTTATAATCACAATCCTTCTAAACCCAAGTATGAAGACACTTGGGATCCCCATTTTGTACTTAGCAAACTAAAACTCTGGCAACCTTCAAAAGATCAATCACTAGAAAAATTGACTCTAAAAATGGTTACTCTGTTAGCCTTAGTTACCACACATTGTGTTCAAACCCTAACAAAAATAAAATTGGAAAATATTAATATCCATGATAATGTTATGAATATCAAAATTGCTGATCGGATCAAAACCAGTGGACCCAAAAAACCACAGTCAATCCTCAACATTCCATTTAATTTGGAAGAGCCTGAACTTTGCCTTGCCTCCATAATTGGAAAATATATAGAAATAACAGAGCCTCTCAGACCTCATAATGAGACTCGCTTGATAATCACCTACAAAAAACCGTTTCACGCCGCCACAGCCCAGTCTGTGAGTCGTTGAATCAAAACAACATTGAAGATGTGTGGTATTGATACCGATAAATATGGGAGTCACAACACCAGGCATGCTGCAACTTCTGCAGCCTATAGGTCCGGAATGAGCATTGCAGAAATCAGGAAAAAGGCAGGCTGGAGCGAGAAATCAAATACTTTCAATACTTTCTAACTGGCATGTTTACAAAAGACTGAAAATGAGTAAAAATTGAATGACTCCACAAATATTCTGTTGTAAATATTGTCTATTGTATTACTTTATATGGAAATAATTTATCACATTATGCGAACGCTACAAGGTGTTATTATTGATTATTTTGTTTATTATTATATATATGTTGTTGAATTTTGAATAACCTTTGTATGAATTATTACTACTGTTGGGAAAAATAAAAATGATAAAAATAAATCTGAATTGCACATAATTGGTTTTCCCAACTAACTGCAGATCGCATGTAGAGCTCTCTCAACAACTACTTGTGTCAAATTGTAATAACTGAGGACAAAGCATAATGGAAACACCCCCCTAAAATTTGAAGTTGTAAACCGATTTTAATTTTTTTTTTAAATGTCAAGTACTAAAAGGTCTACCTTGGGACAAAATTTGAAATGTTTATTAAAGTTTCAGGGCAAACTACGATATATTTTCTTAGTCGATTAGGGATTAGGGATAGTTAGGGATCCACGCCAATGGATTCAGAGTGCCTCTAAACAGGTGTGACCAAAATTTCATGAAAAAATATTCATTATTAACAAAAAACACCCTATACCAATAGATATAGCAATGAGAATATTTTTTTTATGATTTTAACAATAAAGTGCCGCCAGATGAAAAAAAAAACAAATAGCGTGAATATTTTTAATGAAAATAACGACATTCAAGTTTTCACGCAAATTAACTAAAAGTAAGACCTAATATTTCAATTCAAATCTTAGTTGCCATGGAAATGATCTTACAGTTTGACACTTGTGAAAGATTCAAGTGTACTATTGTCAACAATATTCACCTTACAGTTCTTCGAATTATTTTGTGTCATGGCTGCAAGATTGAAATTGTACGCCTTTCGAGAGATGACGTTAGAAGTTAGAGAGGTTTGTAGAGTATTTAATGAAAGACATCCAGATCGTCCTCGTATTAGCTGCGGTACGGTAAATAAAATAAATGAAATATTCAATGAAACTGGTGCAGTATCAAACATGATGTTAAAAAGTAATCCTGTACAAAGACGAAACAGGAATGATCAAATCATTTTAGAAATAATCCTAATGCCAGTATAGGGAATGCCACTTTAGATTTGAGTATTCCACGAGAAACTATTCGGAGATGTCTCAAGGCGAAGAATATTAAACCTTTCAAACCAAAATTTTTACACACACTTGTACGAAAACGGGAACAATCAAACTATTTGTGTCAAATTGTAATAACTTCAGACAAAGCTGCTTGTATAATATGGATCAAATTTTCTTAAGGTAAGTCATTTGATCTGTTAATTTCATTGTCATTTCAGTTTTTTTGCTTAATGTAATTGTTATTTTCAATATATTCAATTTTTATAGATTTTTCAGGTATTTCAAATCAATTTATATCATAACAGACAATGGAATTCCGAATTAATGAAAAGCACCACGAAACATCGTCAACCACCTTCAAACAAATAAACCATTCTTTGTTATATACTTTTAGTCTAACGATTTTTTATGAAACCTCCCTTATTAATCTCTCAAGGAATGAGGGAGGTTTGAGTCTTTAGCGATAACCTTGAATCAGATATCTTCCACACATCAAACTTTCCCGGTCATCTCCGTTTGAGATCGGCCTTGAATGGCGACCATAACTCAACTCCGGTAATTAGTCCTTGGAAATAGCCTTGAATTGAAAGTAATCTGATACATTAAGTTTTCTTGTTGCTGATTGACCATGAGACCCTGAGAAAAAATTAACTTGTTAATGAGTGACGTAGTGTGTGCATGTGTATTTTATTGTTGACTAATGGCCACAAAAGATCTGATGGAAAAGTTAACTTCAATAAATCCTGGAATTACATCAATATAATTTCACGGTTGATCCATCGCAGAGAAACAAGCGAAGAATTGTCATTCAAAGAAATGAGGAAGTTGAAACTAGAACCAACAAAAAATCATATATTTCTCAAATAGATGATGCCTCGATAAGATATTCACAAGAGAGTGATCCAAACATAAAAGTGCATTTATTCAAGAATCTACATGAATCCAACGAATATTATAAGGATATTGTAAACATAATATCTGAATTGAGAAAAATAAATATAATTGAATAGTGATTCATTATTTATGTGTAATAAGACAAATAATATCATTTTAATATTTCCAACAACAGAGTGTACCTATTTCAATCCAAAAACTTTCATAGTAACAATGTGGTTCATTTTTATATGTCAGAGAAAGAAGTGATCAAGTAGTTATCAACTCACAGTGTATCACTTTGTTTACTAACACGTCATGGTAATGTGTAATAGAGTAACTTTGGCAGTTTTTCATAGTATAAGGGGTGCACGTCAATGGCAAAGTTTAAAAAAAAGTACCACTTTCTATTGAGATATCCGACTTAGATGATATAAAACAAATGGGTTTTGTTTAAAGAAAAAATTAAATGTTCTTGAACTGGTGAATGGGTGAAAAACATTTCAATTCCTATTCGATTACTTGAATTTAAAAGCAATAAACTCTGTGCTCATGAAAAAATTATCATCTATACGTTCAAGATAATAATAGATGCTTTGTGGTAACTGACAAAATAGTGATATGCATTGAACAACTGATACCAATCTGGCAAACTCGCTTCACCAATATGATGTGGTTTTGCTCAAGGGCATGTATCAAGGACAAATTCGATCGCCAAGACCAAACTCTGTGCTCAAGGTCATATGACGTGCTCATTCAATGTCATTCAGGGCCTTCAAGGTAATATGACGTGCACATAGCTCAAAGTCGTGTGTCGTCATTCAAGGTAGAGCGGTAGGGGGTTTCGAATTTCAAACGGCATGTTCACTGTCACGTGACGTCACATGTATCTCAAGACCAAATCATTGGCGGGGAGTGGAAAAGGGGTTTAACGGTCAAGTCAGTGTGGTGGCAATATTGAAGGGTATGTACGACCCTAAGGAAATAGTTGCATACACGAAATAACATATGAGAAAAAAAACTCACTCGAACTTGAGTACATAGACATGTATGTAGCATTGACCATGAGTACAAAGCATTCATATACACAAGTATATAATCGACAACTTCTACTACTATGAAGCATAACTGCCCCAAATCGAGTAAACCGCACCTCTTACTGTCAAAGGGTCGGAAGCGGCAATGCAATACATTCATCCTTGTACCACTGGATTCTTGTTCTCACTGAACGAATCATGGCAGCCGTGCAGCGAAGGTCGATCAAGGCCGAATCCTTAAGTCTTCGAAATAGCCGCGTGAAGCGATGGTCGTTAAAGGTCAAACTCAGAACACTACCTCAAAGTCACCTTGTCTGCGTCGTGTGACGTAGGTCAAGATCGACGACAAGATGACGAAGGTTCAAGATCAAACTCAAAAGACTCCCTCAAGGTCACCTTGGGTACGTTGCGGTAGGTTCGAAACTTCGAAAAAGCCACATAACTAGCTCGAGTTCATTCGAGGTCAAAGTCACCTTTTCGAAAATATAGGCAGGGAATGAAGGTCATTCGAAGTTAAACTCAAAACACCACCTCAAAGACACCTTGCCTGTGTCGCCGTGTGACGTATGTAGGGGTTATTTCATGATTAAAAGATAGAATGTTCCGAAATCGGCTTAAACCAACAAATCACTGACTACCTATATTCATCTGATTTCCATTTGTAATCATTACATCGAGCCTTTCAAAATAGCAACTTTATCGCTATTCATAGATCCTAATTCACATTTTTCAATTTCCTGACTTTCAAAGGCATCTAAAATCCTGTTGGCATGTACAGGTGTCAAAAATTTCAGACATGTTTCACTCATTCCGTAGCCGTTCTCTAAGGCACACTTAAATTTTCTGGTTCGCGAAAAAGAATGTGTGAAAAATGTTTCTTGAAACGTGTATTTACTTAATTTTCTTTACATACCTTCTGTCGAAGTTCTAACAGTATTTTAATAATTCCAGGAAAATGAAAAGTTTTGTGTGAATAAACCATCTTTATTCAAGTCAAACATCAAATAATCGCTTTGTAACAATTCAGACGTGGTTCAGATGCTCTACCGTCAACTGCACATATCTTTTGATGTTACACTAGCTACGGTGAATGCTATCGATTGAAATTTTTGTCACTCTAATAAATTTGACTGAACAGCCCCAATTTGATGAATAATTTCAGTGGATAAATCAAATGAACAAAAATTTTAAATGAACCTTTCCAGAGGAATCAAAGGATCTGGGATATTTGGTCAACTTATTCTTAATTTTTACAACATAATGATGCAATGCATTCTCTAAAACTTTGGAGGATTTTCAATGAACTAACATAGCTCATAATTTCATCAGATATCAAAATAACAACGAAAACCATCTTTCGAGAAGAGATTGTAACATACTGGGAAGAATATATTTCGAATCAAATTCAAAATATTTATCCCACCCAACGTCTCTGAACAGTATGTTGTATGAATTCTAATGGGGTTTTATCCTAACACCAAACCATTATTTTCAACACCTCGACACGTGATCATCTTCAAGAGGAAGATCAAAGATTAAGTTCAATCTTCTTCGCGAAGATGATCGCTTGGTGATCGAAACACGTGTCGAGGTGTTGAAAATAAAGATTTTGTGTTGGGAAAAAAATCCAGTAATATTCATTATTACACCAAAGGTTCCATCCACATGTAGATGTATGCCGGTAAAATATTCAGAGTGTTAATACACAAAATGCTTCTTTTTCGCTTGGGGTTTGTACATAAAGATTAGAGCAGTTTTCACGGCAAAGTATTTCTTATAAATAGTATACAATAGGTACTGCGGTGTTTTGGTGATGTGCACGAAGTTTTTCCTTCCCATGTATAGATATTTATAATAAGGAGTCTTCCAACAGGGACTTCCAAACTTTGGTGATTGATTACAGCTATCTTGTTAAAGCTTCATCTGTCAAATTAGTTGTCAATTTTTCAGGCTGGACGGATCTAGCATTCAACAACACGCGCAGATAATGTAATTGTTTTATCAAAATGGGTGTTCTGTTCGGGAAACGTACCGCGTGCTTCGCCCATTTTACGCTCGCTTTAATCGTCCTAGAGAGAGGACTATTCGCAATGTGGTG